TCTTCCCCGCTTCTTCCCTTCTTCCTCCCTCCCCTCCACCTCTTTCATCCCTTCTTCCTCACCACGCTCCTCCGTTTTTCCACCACTCCACCCATATCCCCTCCACCTTTTCTTTTCTTTTTTTTCTTTTTTAAGTAAGAGTTTTACCGAACTTTCAACACAATAAGGTCATATAAGTGCCGAACGTTAGAGGTGTTACTAGAGAGTAACAACCACAAAAAAGGAGGGGAGATAAAGACGATAGATCTAGATGTGTAATAGGAAAGAAGAAGCAAACCACATCAGAGCACCCGCCAACAAACCACCTCCACCTTCTCAAAATACCTACAGATTCCTGCTAAGAAGATCCTCCACCCGGCGTGTGGACCAGGACGGACTACGTAACGTCAAGTACCACCTCACCAAGACCTCCTTCAAACCGCTCTATACCTGGATCAACGTGTACGTCAACGCTACGGCCGTCTACCAGGTACTTTTTTACGGCATTTTTCAAACGATATAGGCACTTTTTAAACGATTTAGTCACTTTTTAATAGCACGCTCTACGCAATTAAGGTACTAAACAAAACTTCCTCTTAACCGCTTTTTACATGGATCAAAGTTCCGTCTATCAGTTACTTTACCTTTACGGCACTTTTGAAACGATCTAAGTACTTTTTTATACAGCACTCTCTACACAATATAGGTACTGTTACACAGCTTATTTCAAACCGCTCTATACGTGGATACGTCTGTGTCTGTGCCACGGCTGTTTATGATTGGGTAATTTACACTAATTTCCACACAATTCATGTACTTTTACACCACTTTCCACGCAGATTAGGTACTGTTACAAAACTACCTCTAAACCGCTCTGTACCTGGATTAACGTTTACATCAAATCACGTCCGTCTATCAGGCAGTTTATGTTACTTTTCAAATAACGTTGGTAGCCGACTTTGACACGACCTTCCACACAAATTAGGTACTTTTATACTTAGGTACTATTACACTTCTTTTCACACAAATTAGGGGCGTTTTTATTTTTTAGTACTTTCCAATCCAAGCCTCCCTCTAGCCGCTTTACACCTGGATTAAGGTCTATATCAACAGTACAGTTGTGTGGCGTCGGTGGCCTAGTGGTTAGGCTCTCGGACTCGCGCAACCGTAAGGTCGTGGGTTCGAATCCCGTCAGGCGCCCAACGTTGTGTCCTTGGGAAAGGCACTTTGCACAAATTTTCCTCACTTCACCCAGGTGGAAATGGGTACCCGGCTATAGACAGTGAACGATCTTGTCAGTTTGATAGTGTTTGAGAGCGTGAAATCCGCAGCTTGCACTGTATGCTTTCGCAGAAGCCGAGAATGTTTGTGGGTGTTTTCAGAGGGTCTGCTCGGGTAATAATAGTTGTAAAGCGCATAGAGCATACTCTTGAGCATGGATATGTGCTATATAAATGCAATTATCATTATGATTATTACAGCCGTCTATCAGATAATATATGCCACTTTTCACACAACCGTGGTAATTTTATGTCTTCACAAAAAATATTTAATTTTTTTACCACTTTCCAGGTAAAGTAGGTGTTTTTGCAACACTTTTCCCACAGAATTTACGAACTTTTACAAACCTCACTCATGGTCAAAGCCTGCTTCCTAAATTATCAAAATTGAATCGATGAGCCATTAAAAAGAAATAATACTTTTTTTTCTTTTCAGAAATCGCACATTCAAATACTTTTCAATCATTTTCCTTATAATTTTGACACCTATCTCTTTCATTCTCGAGTCTATCTAAATCATGACCTCTCTTGCTTCTTCTCACTTGGAAAAAAATATAACAAATGTGGATTTAAAAAAATAATTTCTGTATCTATTGACAGGACGCCCCCGATGTGATCAAACACTTGACGGATCGGATAGTGAAAGAATACAAGTCGGTATTTGGCACTCGCTTGCAAGGAGATTTTATACAGCCAATTGTTTGATATTTCTAGTCTGGGAAAGTAAAGTTTAGCCTCACCTACCCCCC